TGTTAGCTAACTGCTGGTCCTAAGGTGGAATAAAGAACAGAAAACAGAAAGTGAGGCTGGAGATATAAAAGAAGGACTTGTGCCCAGGAGAGGGTCTGTTTCTGCAGTATGGATGTTTTTTCATTTTAAAAATCCGACGCAGACCAAAAGTTTGTATAATGCAAAGTTTGTTGCTGCCGGTGGTGGCAACACTATCAACTTATTCCATCACCTCAGCAGAAAACATGCATGCTATTACCGTCTGCGGGTTCGGCGCCGTCAACCAGTAGCACCAGTGAAACAAAGCCAAAGGGTCAGACATGGCTTGAACAGGCATTTTCTCAAGGGACGGCATACGACCGGAGAAGCAAGCGATGGAGCGACATTACGAACGCAGTAACAATCCAGCTATGCAAGGACATGGTCCCGCTACAGTCGAGAGAGAGGGTCCAGACATGATTGAGATGGATTTGAGGTATGTCTTACAGGGCGAAAATATTTGATGCAAAATGAGTATTACTGACTCATTCATATATTGTACAATTTTTGGGACAAAGTAATTGATACTTTGATTACAGCCTTGATTTAAAGCCGTGTACTCCTGACAGTAAAATAAACCACAAACATATATAAAGCCATCATGGGGAAAAATAAAAAGTTAATTAAACAAAAAATACAGTGAAACTGCCAGAATCTTAAAAACAGCTGTGATATAAATTTTTAGTCATACCGCCCAGCACTAGTACAACACAAGTTAAATCAAACTCACAGCAAGTAAAAGTACATTGCTTTAAATACACTTCTTGGTGAATCAGGTCAAAGAAACTGATGAATGAGAAGTTTAATTCCTAATAATTATCCTTGTGTGTGCAGGGGACGGTGGAAAAGATGTGCAGGGTTTTAGAGGACCAGCTGACTGAGAGCAACAACCGAGCAGACGAGCTTCAGAGGCAACTGACGGAAGTTTCTGCTCAAAAAGCACGAGCCGTAACAGAAGCTGGTAAAGCACAAACAAAAGCACAAAACGATCAAAACCGAACATCTGACCTCAACTGACGCTTCTCCCGTTTATAGTGTCCTCTGTATGTTTTTAGTCTAACTGCTTCAGCAGACTGTCATCTATTCAGTTCAGCGAACATTCAGTTTGTTCACAACGTTACAGCTATGACTTTTAGTTATTGTAATAATTATGCTTTTTCAATAGTCTTAGTCAAAGACCACGAGAACGGAAACATGTCAGGAGACAGAGGAGAAGAGGAAAGTGAAGAATGTAGGACTGAGGGTTGCAACTCTAAATGTGGGGACAATGACAGGCAAAGGTATAGAGCTGGCTGACATGATGCTGAGAAGGAAGGTAGATGTGTCCAAGAGACCAAGTGGAAGGGCAGCAAGGCTCGCAGCATTGGAGCAGGGTTCAAACTGTTTTACCCTGGTGTGAACTGACTTTCAAAACTTTACGTTCCTTTATTCTCATACATATCTTGGAGAGACGAGCTGATGTTTGTGCTGAGACTGTTAGGTCTTCTGAAGACCATGACAGGTACAGCAGCGTGTCGTCTGCATAGAAGTAAACAATGAAATCAGAAACACTAACAGCTCCAGCACAGCTATAGAGCAGTGAAAGCTAAAGATGACTCAGCTCTGAGCACTAGGGGTACCTCTTTGGTGAAGAGTTGGAATCTCATAATGAAGCAGCACGACGGCTCAGTGGTTGGCACCGTTGCTTCACAGCAAGAAGGTCCTGGGTTCAATCCCAGGTTGGACCTGGGGTCTTTCTGTGTGGAGTTTACATGTTCTTCTCGTGTTTGCATGGGTTTTCTCCAGGTACTCCGGTTTCCTCCCTCAGATCAAAAACATACACGTTAGTCTGCCTTCAGGCCCAGGCCTCCCTTGCAGAAGAGCTCTGTGATCTCACTGGGGTTTGCCTGGTTAACTGAAGGTTAAATAAAATGACACGTTAGTCTTAACCTGTCTAAAATCTCTGACTGGAGCAGAAAGTATCAAACTGCTTTGCTTCTACTTTTGTGCCGTGTTCTCAGATGAGTACCGTCGTCGTCTGGAGGACAGGGACGCTACAATTGGTCAGCTGCAGCGCTCCAAACTTAGCTTTTGCCAGGACACTGAGAATTTGAAGAGGCAACTTGAAGAAGGAAGCAATGTAAGATTTTGTTTTCAAAGCATGCTAACTGGAATAAGTTGAACTAAGAGCTGTTTGCCAACAAATCCAGGCGTCATGACGTGTTCCGACATCTTGAATTGGTGCCGCAGGCTCGGGTGGCGCTGGCTCACGCTGTGCAGGCGTCCCGTCATGACTGCAGTTTACTGAGGGAGCAGCTGGAAGAGGAACAGGAGGCTAAAGCTGAGCTGCAGAGGGCGCTGTCCAAAGCCAACAGCGAGGTGGTTCAGTGGCGAGCCAAGTACGAGACTGAAGCTGTGCTGAGAATAGAGGAGCTGGAAGATGCAAAGTAAGACTATACTGCCACCGTAACCATGGCGTCCCACCTTAACGCAATTCAAAACTATAAAATACAAAAAAGTGCTGTACAAGCTGGGAATGACTCTCAGCTACTACCAAACCAAACTTGACCTTTATGTCTATTGAGTTATAGCCATTTTTGTGTTTGCTACGGGTGCTTAGCTGAGACGACCATCTTGGATATGGTTGACTCATCTTAATCAGTTATAGATGTTCTAATCTGTCTGAGTCTAAATCTCCCCTCCAGCCAGGCCTTGTCGGATATTGAACTCTTCCATTGCTGCTCTCTTCTCCTCTGCTTTTGCCACTAACTCTGTTACAGATTCTGGACCCTCAGTGTGTCTTACTACACATGAGTTGCCCTCTCAGTATCAGGAGACGTGTGTTAAGATTTTGGACCTAGTGGCCCCGTTAAAAACCAGACAACCAAAATATACACCTCACCCTTGGTTAAATGAGACCACCCGAGCAGCCACACGTCAGTGCAGGAGAGCTGAGCACAAATGGAAGAAGGACAAACTTCAAAATAAATCAAAACTATAAAAGCCCGGGAGAATAAAAGTGTTTTCAGTTGCTTTTTAAAAACCTCCACAGAGTGAGCAGAACGAAGCTGCAGGGGCAAGGCTAGCTTAAGCTTAACGCAGCACAACAGTAGCTAAATCTAAAACCAGCACAAAGAAAAAAGAAGCTGAAGCAGAATTCACAGAGAACATTTTCAAAGGAAATGATCTTAATGTGGATCTGTAGGGAAATTATTAGTAAATTATGGTAAATATCCTTGAAAAAAATAAAAAGTTATAAAACCCAGAAGCTACGGCACTCGTCTCCTGAATGAGCCGAACCTTTTGGTATATTTTGATATATTTACAACTAAAATAGAAACATCTAAATAAATTGTTTTTTCTTTTAGTAAAATATGTTCTTTTGGTCAAACTGTTGTCAGATTTGTTGTGATGTTTGCAGGAAGAAGCTGGTGGTGAAACTGCAGACGGCTGAAGAAGCTGTGGGGGGAACTCAAGCTAAATGTGCCACGCTGGAGAAAACCAAACATCGTCTGCAAACGGAGATCGACGACCTGGTGGCAGCAGTGGAGCGCTCCAACGCTGCCGCCCTGGCTCTGGACAAGAAGCAGCGGAACTTCGACAAGGTTGGTCCACACTGAGAAGAGACGTGAGCCAGGTGACGGTGGAACAGAACCCTGAACTCAGGATGGTTTGTTTGTGTTGTTTGTTGTGTTGTTTACGATGCAGCTGCTGGGCGACTGGAAGCTGAAGTTCGAGGAGAGTCAGTCGGAGCTGGAGGCGTCGCAGAAAGAGTCTCGCAGTCTGAGCACGGAGCTCTTCAAACTGAAGAACAGCTACGAAGAAGCTCTGGACCATCTGGAGACCGTGAAACGAGAAAACAGAAACCTGCAAGGTATCTGCACAGATGGACCGGGCCTTACTGGATCTCTCAGGACTTTGAGTCAAGAAGAAATCTCAGAGTTTGAGTTCAAATGATTAACATCTAATTATTATTTCTCCATTAAATATTTGTCCCTTTCACTGCAGAGGAGATCCTGGACCTGACGGAGCAGATCGGTCAGGGAGGAAAGACCATCCATGAGCTGGAGAGGATGAAGAAGATACTGGACGTGGAGAAGAGCGACATCAGAGCTGCTCTGGAGGAAGCAGAGGTAACACTTCCTGTTCCAGTCAGCCGTTAGCTAGCCTGAACCGGAGCGTTAAACTTCCAACTGTCCACCAACCAGGGGACGCTGGAGCACGAGGAGAGCAAGACTTTGAGATTTCAACTGGAGCTGCAGCAGATCCGGACTGAGATCGACAGAAAGATCGCAGAGAAAGATGAAGAGATGGAAAACCTCAGGTACCGAACGAGTCAGAGGACAGAGCAGCCAATGATCGAGTAGAAACTGGCTGAAGGTGCCGATTCACACGTTTGTATCTGTGAGAATCCAGGATGAGATCCTGACGTGAGCAAATATAAACATGATCAGGATTTCTTCTGCTCTTTGTAAATACCCGTCTGAGCAGCCAACGTTAGCTCAGCTGTTTTATTTTCTGCACAAAAGCCGAAATTAGCAGAAAAACTTTAAACAGAGTCAGAAAAGTTCAAACAGAAGAACAGAGGGGGCAGAACAGTAGCAGTGGTAGCTAAAAGACAAAAGATGTTAAAGCTAAAAGTAGGTAAACGGTAGCTAAAATTTGGAAAGCCTGATGCTAATGCTACAGTTAGCTAAAGAGTTTTGAAAAATAGTAAAACAAATGCTAAAGCTAACTTTGGCTTAAAATAGCAAAATAGATGCTACAGTTGTTGAAATCAGGTCTCTCTTGTAAAGGAGTCCTCGAGGCTCAATGAGATTTACCTGTAGAAATAAAGGTTGAATGAATAAAGCTTAAGTTAGCTAAAGAGAAGCTAAAAGAAGCAAAAGCAGTGACTCCACGCGTCTCCACCAGGCGGGGCCACCAGCGCTCCCTGGAGAACATGCAGACCAGTCTGGAGGCGGAGGTCCGCAGTCGCAGCGAGGCGGTTCGTCTGAAAAAGAAGATGGAGTCGGACCTGAACGAGATGGAGGTCCAGCTGGGACACGCCAACAGACAGGCAGCCGAGAGTCAGAGGATCATCAGACACCTGCAGACTCAGGTACGCTCACCTGGACACATCTGGGTCAGGAAAACAGCTGCTGGGTGGCCCAGCTTTTCATCAATGAAGCTAATTTCACTAGAACTTCCTGAAAAGTTCAAACAGGAACTACAGCTCTGTGGTAAAGTCCCTGCGTTCTGCTGAAGGTCAAGGAGCAGCAGGTGGAGCTGGAGGACAGAGTCCAGCTGACCAATCAGCTCCAGGAGCAGCTCGTCCTGTTGGAGCGTAGATGTTCTCTGATGGCCGCCGAGGAGCAGGAGCTGAGAGGGATCCTCGAGCAGACCGACCGCGCTCGAAAGATGGCCGAAAACGAGCTGACGGAGGTGTCCGAGAGAGCCACCCTGCTCACCACACAGGTACACAAACCAGCCGTGACAAGAAACCGTCTGCAGGAACGCTGAGCGTCCTGAAGGCGAGAAGTTCCCGTAAAACTAACGCAGCATCCAAACCACGTTCAGACACGGACCCAGACCTCTTTATTTATAAAGCACTTAAAAACCGACCGACGTGCCGAGTCAGACAATAAGAACTAGAAACCTGCAGCCACGCTGGACCTGAGTCTAATTGGCTCGTGACAAATTCCTCCATTTCTCACCATTTCAGTCATGGCATCAACGGAGGAGGAAGAGATCTCTGCCTCTTGGAAAAAACTAAAGAAAAGGCCAGATCAGGGATGAAGAAGAGGAATTTAATA